TTTTAAAGATTTTTGTRAAATAAAATATACAAGATACTAGTAATGTAAACACAGTGAACAAGGGCAAATTGACACACTTTCCTTCTCTGAACTCACTAATAACATTAAAACAAATCAAATAAAGCATAAAGAAACATAATGAAAAAATTAACAGTTTCATTTTTTGCTGTATGTCAGAACAAACAGTATTTGAAATAGGATGTGATTTTATCCATTTTCTGCCTGCCTAATTATAACTTGTGTTTGACATGAAAAYTTACCTGCCATTTGTTACATGWTGACCACATGATAGTAAAATCATTTGTATTCATTCTGATCTTAACAGCAGCATGCACRTAATACCATATTATACATCATACATTTAATTTATTAACTATTGACTGAAAGAAWTGTAAAACTATTTTAAGATCATATTTGGCTAAAGGAATTTGGATTTGAGACTAATCTTTACTTAGCCATAGATAGTTTGCTTTCACAGATGTTGGAAGCAAAGAATGATACTAAAATATCTTTTTACTTTCCCTTTTTATACTTATTACCTAATCTGACATCTCTAATATGTTGTTTATTATGATTTCTAAATATTAATTTTTCTTTTTGGGGGTTGGGAGGACCGGGGATTGAACTCAGGGGCACATGACCACTGAGCCACATCCCCAGCCCTATTTTATATTTTTATTTAGAGACAGAGTCTCACTGAATTGCTTACACCTCACCTTTGCTGAGGCTGRCCTTGAACTCACAATCCTTCTGCCTCAGCCTCCCAAGTCGCTGGGACTACAGGCATGCACCACTGGGCCAGCCTTTTTTTTTTTTCCCCCTCTTCAGCCTGGATAAATCTTTTGCCATTTTTTTTTTAAACAAGAAGTTTATAGAAAACTGCAATTTGTTTTCACTACATCCTGGGTTGATATGTTTGCATCAGGAAAATTCTTAAGCTTTCAACATTCTCTCTAGTCTTCTGGGGCTCCAATTATACATATATTAGACCTTCTTGCTTCATCCTTCGTATCTCTTAAGCTTTATTCTATATTTTTCATTTTTTATCTTTGCACTACCTTCTGTATAATTTTTTCTTATCTACAATTTACTAATTCCTTCTTCTGACATGCCTGTCTATTGAAGTTTTAATTATAATATTGTTGTTGTTGTTGTTGCTACTATTATTACTATTGCTAGACATACTGTTTGGTTCTTTTACCAATCTGTGTATCACATTAAAAAGTAATTTCTGGAAGATTCTTTCAAACTCTTACTTGTTTCTATAAACATACTCATAGCTTTGCAGTATATATAAGTCTGTTCTTGCTGTCAGCTTCTTGCTGTGTTAACTCTTGCTCCAGGTACCTGTTTTCTTGGGTGAAGCATTTTGATGTTATGCCAGCTCATTGTCACTAAATATGATTCATACAGATTCTTTGAAGCCTAAGATGAAATAGCTGTTTTGAGAAAGGATTTACATTTAATTTGGTTAGGTCCCCATAGACTTGTGAAGTTTGGGACCTTCTTAAGTCAGGTTCAATATTTAATGCAAACACTCACATCACCTACTTGCTTTCTTCCTCCTCTTCCAGGCTTCAGTTCCTTTTAATCAGGAGTCACTTCTTATCAAATCTCATGGATAGCACAGTTCTCAGCTTGTGAAAAGTGACTGATAAATTGTGGTTGAATTAATAAATCTTTAAATTGTCACATCTATCTGGTTAACTTATTTTCTCTGTCTTTATTCTTGGTTGGTAACTTAAAAGAAACAATCTATATTAAATGTTATTCCCTATTATGCATGTTTTCTGCAAGGCATATTTGTATGTTGTCTCTCCTTTATAAATTATTCTAGTATTGTACCATATACTGGGTAAATATCTGCTTCCAGGCTAACTTTCTGCACTCTCATGCTTCTGCCCAAAAGTGTATCAAACCACAGTTTCTGTGATTCCTCAAACCTTAAATGAATACTCTGGAATGTTTCTTGGTCTCTGGCACTAACCTTTTGTGGCCCTGGAAATGGTGAAACCATCCTAACATCTTTTCCTTTAATTATACATAAAAGTTCTCTCTAGAGTTCTGATCTTTGATTTTGCCACTGTCTTGCTCATAGGCCACYATGAGTATCACTAGTGCCCATAGAATAAATCCAAACCTGTTAGCTTATTATTTTTGCATCCTTCATCTAAGTGGCAAAGACAGATTTCTTGAAAGAATATGATATCTACTAAATTGGACTTCACTACTTACCATGTGACTTCATATAAGATACACTTCTGAGCACTGGTGTGCTGGTATGTACAGTAATACTATACCATAAGGGATAAACTACATAAAACTGCTAGAACTCACCTGAATTAGAATAGCCATATAAGGCATTTCTTTCTAGCAGGGTTTGAAAAGGATAATAGCATATTCTTATTCGTGTATTATTGTAGGCATATCAATGCTCAATAATTTCTAGACTTTAGTTTTCTTAGTAAACATAAAGTGGAACCTTAAGTGGTAATTTTGGAGCTTAAATATGGGAGGATACTTGAGGCATCCGATTCAATATTTGGCACAAGTGTTACTTCATTATCCCCCTTCCAAACTCAGGTACAACTTTCTCTTTCTTATGGAATTTCAATAAAAATTGAAAATTAGAATATATTATATAAGATTGTTATTCTTATCTCTACTTTTTAAAGTCCAAGCTAGCCTTTAAGGCCAAGTTTTAATGYCACTTATTTCATGAGGCATCCCTAATTCTCATTTCTGAAATACTCATCCCACATTCTAGCCAGGATACCAATGCAACCAAAGGAAAAAAATCTTCAACCAATCTCAGCTGATACTTGAATTTCCTAATGTCAAAAAGTATAACTCTGCAATGCACAAAGCTAAGCAGTGTTCTAGCTCCTACCAAAATGGTTTTAGAGATGAAAATTTTATTATCTCCTGTAGAGGTCTATTTATTTCACAGATAGCCTTAGTCTTTCCCCCTAAATTTTCTGCATTTGTTCCTAGGTACAGCTGTGTTCCTGCTTAAACACAGTGCCAGAAACAAAAATATTTCTTAAAATACCTGGTTCAATAATCATCTTTCTCCTTTTGTGACTATAACTGTGCTAACACACTGGGGACAACCATGAAGCCATGCAGTACTCCTAATTACCCTTATATTTAGTTAAAACCTTGAAATCTTCTTTTAAAATATATGTTTGTATTAAATGATTTCTCCCTTGCCTTGTGTTAATAGGGTTGTTTTTGACATCTGTGATTAAGCCCCCCAACATACATACATACTACATGAATCTGGATATATTTCTTTTCTTATTAAAACTATTGTGAACCTGATCAGTATTTCAAACTCCTGGATTCATTTGTTTTCCATGGTTTCTTCCAAAGTATTCTATTTCTAGTATAAAACTTAGCTCATTCTATTTTACCACATAGTTTGTGTACATTTTATGTTTGCTCTTAGGTGGGCTTCCCTAGAAGCAGAGCCTCTATCTAGGGACTGGTTGACAATTCTGTGGTCTTCCAGTCTTGCTATCCTCTGCTGAGGAAAAAGCAGTTCTACAGAGTGGAAGTGCAGCTATGAGTTGTTCTCTGCCAAACCATAGCAGCTGGGATACAGCAAAAKGGATCCAGACACCAAGAACATCTACTATAGACACCCTGGGTGTTCTAACTCTCCAGTAGGGAAACTACATATTGTTTTTCTTTGTATTCTCCCTAAACCTGATTCTTTGTCTTTCACACTGGAAGCACTAATTTGTGAACTGATTTATTAAAGATCTGGAGGAAATGTCTCCTAGTTTTCACTTATTGCAAACTATAGCCATTTGTAATTTTAACAGATATCTGTGAGGTACTTGGTCACTTCGCCTGCCTCCCCATGCAGCAGAGAGCCAGGGTGTGTGAATGACAGAAGGATACAGRCATTCATACTACACATTCCAAGAATCTGGTTGCCCTGTCAACTCAAAAACTGTCTAAGGACAAATGCTCAAATTTAGAATAGGAAAATAGCTTCCACAATACCAAGACAAACACAGAAAAGGGCAGAATTTCAGTCTATCCCATTTATCTCTTACATTATATTTGGCCTTTAAATTTTTATTTATAAATTTACACACACACACACACACACACACACACTCACACACACACAGTTAAACACTAGAATTTTCTAAAAGAATAGTAAATGAATAGCAAAAGCCTATTTCTTCATCATCTTGACTTTTATTTCCACTCCTAAGACTAACTATTGACTAGTATTAATCTTTTCTTGTGTGTGTATTCAGAAATTATTTAGACATACAGGCATRTATATTTGCAACTTTATTTACAAARATATARTAGCATGAGACTGCTGTCTGTTTCTACTAATAACACATCTTACAGAATCTTCTACATCTACACATCTACATCAATATCGCTTTTAAATGACTATGAAATATCTTACAATTTATTTAAGCTGACATTTTTCTAGTTTTCAGGTCTGATAAATCATGTTTTTTGCTACTCAAATTGTTACCGCCAGAAAATGTGCTTTCTTGTGTTTGTCTTTGTATATATGTTCTCAGCACCATTAAATTGAAACCCTACCCTTACTTCTGGACAGAAACCTAGTCAGGGGCAGTAAACATGACTTCCAGATTTCTTGCATCTCTATTAAATAGTCCATCTTCAGGCCTAAGTTATGCTTTCTCACTCTCTGCCCATTTGTTTTCAGCCTTTTCCCAGAATGCGACTTTTAATCAGAAAAGATGRATGTTGCTACAGTTGGGAAAAAGCTACAAGTCATTCTAAACCGCAGGACACAGTCATAGCAAGTTCCTAGAGCCACACTGGTATATAATTTAAATAGTAGCATAATTATGTTCAGAGGAACAGAATTTCTGAATCTTGCTCAGAATTTAAGAGGTTCGGTATGAAGAGCTTGTCTGATGCAAGTTTCTTTCAAAGACACAAATCAGACTTTGCAGAAGTACTCAGGGCCTTTCTTCTTGTCTCTTTGCTTGCAGTGAAGTACATGCGAGAAGCCACGCCCTACGTGAAGAAAGGATCTCCAGTGTCWGAGATCGGCTGGGAAACACCCCCTCCTGAGTCCCCTCGGTTAGGGGGCGGCTCCTCAGACCCTCTGTCRTCGCAGTCCTTCTCCTTCCATAGAGACCGGAAAAGCATCCCCCTCAAAATGTGCTACGTCACTCGGAGTATGGCCTTGGCTGACCCCGAGAACAGGTAATGAGAGCCAAAACTCTCCTCCTTATCTCAGCAGCTCCTTGGCCTCTGAGGTGAAGCAGGCCCTTTGCCAGGCTCTGCTCCTGATCTGAAAACTCTCCCTGGTTCCCGAGAACAGCAAGAATGAGCCCTGCTAAGAGTGTGTGCCTCCAGCCAGACCCCTGTCCCTGGTCCACCCTCCTTCCTTGCTCTCACCTTCCTGCAGACTGTGCATGCTGAGCCCTAGCATTGGAAAGACTGGAAGGATTGAAATTAGGATCCCAACTTTCATTCTTGGCTCTATCATTGCCAGCTTATGTGACTTTGTGCCTATTTCTCAAATCACGGATACCTCATTTTTGTCATCTGTAGATGGGAATAATTATAACAGAAACCAGTKGTGAGGGTTCAAAGGGGAAATCCAGGCAAAGTGCTTAGCATCACGTGAAGGGTTAGATGAGAGAAGCCTTGAAGCTGTTTTCTACTCACCTCCCTTTATGCTCAGGAGAGAAAAAGGAGCAGCTTCAGACCATGCCTGGAGTGCTGCTTCCCAAAGTCTGTGCATGACTTTGTCACAGGATAGATGTATCACCAATCCRGGGCAACCAGAAGGAGTCCTGCCAAGTTGAAGTAAATATTTGGGGTAACATCCCCCCCAAAAAAATCTTACTTTAAATCATCTGAATAGAAAAATGTATGTGTTGGAGGAAAGCAAGAGACATAGAAAGAGCAGGAACTGAGCCAGGAAGGGGGGTTCTGCATGACCTCTGCATTCTCATTAAAGTGCTAAAAATAGGCTCGGCTCTACTGGTCCTTATTTATAACATGTGTGGGACAGCTGTAACCCACCCCAATAGGAAATATTTGGCTAGGTTCAGAGTTGCTGACGGGGAAAAGCCAAAGGGAATAGGGCAAGGGAGAAAATTGCCTTCTTGGCTCCCAGCTTGGTGTCTTTTTCTGTTCTCAGCCAGTGAGCTCACTCCAGGGAAGCTCTAGGGCCCTGCTCACCTGCCCCTCCTCTGTCAGTTATGCCTGCTCAGGGCTGGGCCACTGCTGAGACAGCCAGCAAGTAGAGGCCAGAGAGGAGGCAGAACAGGCCTAAGGAGTCAAAGTCCTCGGTTAATGGACTTCCACTCTGTTCTCCATTTTGTTCCCAGGTGATTTCTGCCTGTTTCGTGAGCCTGCTTGCTGATCAGGTGTTGCTTATCCCGAGTTTCTTCTTCCCTGGCCTCTTACCCACCCAGCCAGACAAGTCTTTTCTCCCAAGAACCTGACATGGAGGCCTCAGATGGGATGAAGTGCTGGTCTTGTTTAGGCTTTGCACTAATTCATGCCAGAAATTGCCGTCTACAGGTCCACCCAGATCACAGATAAATGCTGTTTTTCAGTGGTTTAGCTAGGGTTCTAAAGAAATCTAAATTAGTTGACCTAATCGGGAAAATTCACATAAAAATGACAGATTTCTACTTTTAAGAAAAATTGAAAGACCTAGTGATATTCGTAGAGGTTTCTCCTTTGAGAAGGGAATGAACCCTCCTAGTCACCCCTGTGATCTATTCTTAGGGGATTCCATTAATTACCTGCTTAGTGTGTTTTACTTTACCTGCCTAGTCTTTGACATTATAACCCTGCTTTGTCCTCTTGAGTTTCTATCATGGTCTCCATCCTATAGATAAATAATTGAGGCTAAGAGTGCTAATATAAGTTGGTAACATCATATACCTAGTATAATGTATGATTGGTCTTTAAACCCCTGCCTATAGAATGAGTGACAGCATCGGATAGTAGCCAGTTATTTTCAGAAAATGCATAGAGACTGGAAAACTTTATTGAGGGGTCACAAAAGCTATCAATACATTGGGGAGAAATTCCAATGAGGTGATTTCTAGGATTCCTTCTAGTGGTAGACTTATATGTCATAATGTTACTCCTAGATTAGTCAATTATATTTTAAAGAATGTTTTGGTTGACATCAGGCCTGAATCAAATATTGGAAACTTCATCTTGTGTATCAAGCCTGTAGAAGAGAATAGGTTTGAAAACCTTTATGTCGGAGCTCTTCAAATCCACCTTTGTTGAACGTCTGCAGGCCTCCCACGTGGGAGAGGGACAGCCTGCTCTACCAGGGTGTCAAAACAAGAAAGACAGAATGAAAACGAGGATTTGGCTAAGCCAGAGGCTTCCCAAGGAGACTTCAGGTGCAGATGGGTCTAAACTGTTGTTAGCAAGGAGATCATGGACCTTGGTGAGGCTTCCCCTGGTTGAGGAAAAGAAGAAAATAAACAAATGTTTTGTGGAATTCCAATTATATACTGGTCAGAGTATAGCATACCATCAGAAATGTAAAATCTGCAAAACACAACTTGATGCAGAATACAAGAGACACTGCTAACACAAAGTGATTTGAAAGGTGAGAGATGTAGTGAAAGCAGACAAGGCAAATGCAAACTACCAACAGCAGCAAAAAGGCCTCGATTTTGATCTTGACAAATGACCAGGTAAATTGTAGGCTCAAAAACACAAAATGAGACAAGGAAGGACTGATTTACACTGAGGCCASAATTCACAAGGAACATTCAATAGTTAGGAATGCATACCAAATAAGACAGCAGCAATCTTTAGAGCAGAAAGTGCAAAAAAGAAAGAGACAGACATGCACTCATATTAGATAATTTAGCACACACCACTACACGAAAGTGAAGGACAAAAGATAAAGAGCACATAAGAGACACCAACAACATGATTCATAAGGCAGACTGGGATACATTGCAAAATCTGTACCCTCATAATAGAGAAAACACTTTCTTTTCAAATCTGCATAGAACATGCACAAAATTCTCCACACATAAGGTCACAAAGAAAATACARTAAATTCCACAAGGTATGAGTAATGCAAATAACATCCTCTGATGATGATAGAATAAAACTAGAAAGCYAATAACAAATTAAGACCTCAGAATGCATAATGTCTTTCTTCTTGGACTTTTAAGTTTTCTCCATAAAATAACTCTTGGGTCAAAGGAGAAATATGAACTAAAATTGTACCATTTCTTTAAAAATAAAAGTGATGTAAATAGTGTATGTAGTAAATATAAAAGAGAAACAAGAAGAAAAAAACAGGTATAAACTGTGTGGTCAGCTCAACCAATGGTGAAATCTTGGTTCGACAACATATACATGAATTTAAGCAAGAATTTCATTTACTTTAAATAGCCATCCTACGTCCTAAGTCCTCTCATTTCCATTTTATTGACAATAAAACTTCATGAGAAGTGAGACTTGAAGCCAACAGCAAATCTGGAATTCCAGGCCTGGCTGTCACCAAGCCCAGTTTCTGAATCCTTGTCCCCACTGCCTCCAAATTCTGCACCTGGCAGAACAGCTCACCTGCACTGTAAGCCAGGAGTTAATGGTCTCCTGGGTGCTAAAACCTGAGAATTGATGACAAATGCTACAGCATCTCGGGGCTAATCCTCTCAGTTGGTGACACACAGCTGCTTAGAGTTTGCATTAAAACCTCTAATGCTCAATTTCTCAAATAGAAACAGCCATAGAACAGCAGGCAAGATTGCTGCTCTTTCTGTAAAAAAGGTCACTCCACAGGCACCGACTGCACAAGGACCTTTCCCTGCTCGTGGGTATCAATGATTACAGCATTTTTAAAATTCTACCTCTTACACATCTCTTGCTTTTCATATTCAGCTCTTTGCCTTCATAGCCGTTGCCCTGGTCCAGGCCGTAGCCTCAGTTCCTCAAAGTTGCTGGATCTATTTCTGACTGGGTGCTTTGTTTCCCACTTGCTCCTTCTCCATCCCCATCTACTTCACACCCTGCTAGTCTAGAGAAGAAGAGAAACTTGAAATTTGCCCTTTTGATCAAATGGCTTTTTATCACCTGTGCTAACACCTGACACCTCAGTATTGCATGAAAACCCCATTAGGTTTTGGATCTTCCCCAACTCTTTAGCTCTGCGCACCTCCTCCTTTACAATCCAGCAGCCCTTAAATAACTTGAAAACTTCCTACAGTTGCTTCCTGACAACTTCCTGCTCTCCCATTAAGCCTCAGCACAGGCAGTCTTTTTGGACAGGATGTCCCACTACCCCTTGTGTACACTACACCTCCATCCATTCTACAGTACCTTTCTTAATGACTTGCAAATCTTTCCTATGCCTACCTAGTTCCAGAGCTTCTCAAACTCTGAGGTACCCTGTATTTTTATTTTAGTGCCCCAGCTCTCTGGAATTTTGGTGCAAAATGATGCATTCAAAAATATTTTGTKAATAAGTTATAGATGGCATGTTTATCTACTTTGGGCATTTTTACCTTTTCAAACATTTCTTGAATAAAAAATAAAACTTTCCACTAAAATAACCTTGAGATAACAGAATAAATAAAATCATAGTTGTATGTTGACAGAGGTRGGGAACTTAAAGAAACCAGACAATCTATTACCCAAGTCTATTACTGGATTGAGAGCAGCTATACCAACATGGGCAGTTGACAAGGTGTCAGTCACGACCATGTACTCTACTTCACACCAGAGTTCCTGTAGGTTTTCCTGGTTATAGTATAGAGAGAAATACACAACTACTCTTGGAAAAAAAGTATGCATCTCTGTTTGTGGTGRACAAATGAAAAACTCACAGAAGTTCCTGTCCTCTTTTCAAATAGAAAAGCTCCACTCAACATACTTGGTGATTCCAAGGGGTCTGATAGGTKCCCCATCAGTGATGTCACCACAAGCCAGCACCTGAGATTCAGCCACAGAAGATCTACAACTTGATTCAGTAGCATYATGAGAGTGAATTCCTCTCTAAGAGGTAGACACACATTAACCTCAGAGCCACTTACAAAGGATACATGATCTCACTACATGAGAAATTTAACTGTCATAGAAGTTATTTGGTGAGTGTGGAATCAATACAAGAGGTGCTAATAGATCTGAAGAAGTATATTTTAGACGAGGAAATTGGAGGCCCTTCCTTCGGGGATGGGGAGAGCCTTGTCAAGGTGACCATT